GGCGGCGGGGGTGGAAACGAGGCCTGTGCGGCGCACGACGAAAGGGGACCCGGAAGGTAGCCGGCGTAGCCGGCCGTGCTACCGTATCCCCAAGAATTGCTCGCTGTCAGGCCAAACTGGGACATATCTAGAGAAATCAACTTTTGCACGCTTTGCCAAGAATACGACAAAGGAAAAAAAATCGACAATCGCACAAGCGAAGAATATCTTTGCAACAATTAAAATACAGAAGCATTAACGCCGTCAAGATGCCTATAACTATGAAAAATCAATGGCTGCGTATAGTAGAAAAAGCAGCTTTGCTGTTGTAAGATTCTTTAATATGATTAATTTATATATTTATATCCACAATGAGGAAAAATAAAGTCTAAAATCTTTTTAATCACATTAAAGAATTTTATAATATCACATTCGCAAAGCTGCTTTTTCTGCTAAACACAGCTAATGAACGACGAGCACAATAAACAATACAAACAAATATGTATAAGAAAAGCTGACTAATATAAAAAACATCGATAGCAATGCTGATGACAGTCACATCGGTGGAACAGCTAAATAATAATCGCAACAATCGAATAAAACAACAGAAGGCTGAAAAGGCACGGGAAAATTTTCGCCGGATTATATGCCAATTCGAATCACTTGGCGAGATGCATCGGCGGCGGTGGCGGCGGTTCTGTGCGCCCCTTGGCGGATGTATTTTTGCGGGGTATAGGCAGCATCCCCGATAGATTTTCCAATGAGTCACGGGGGTTGAATGCAGAAAGGACGAGAGCACGAGCGCTTGCGAGAGGGACACGGGCGGACATGGCGGAGAGTGAGGGGAACGGAAGAGTACATCGAGATCAAAGGGTTGGTCATCCCCCGCGTAGCTGGGGCCAACTCAAATAACCGAGCCCGCCTCGGCAAGCGCCACCGGACCGTCGTCACGAGAGCTAACCCTAAATACTGCTATCCGCCCGGTGCTTTCACATCCTTCGGCATTACCGGATTCCTTGCGGTCCGAAGAGGTGGCCCTTTTTATGGAAAATCGCCTAAAGTTACGCACGAGTTTATCCGAAGTATTCGGAGATTCAAATACCTGAGTGAATCCCGTCTCAACTCGTTATTTATAAAAAAAAGTCTACGCGGTTATTTTGCCATATTTTTTAAACAAAACTTTTATTTTAATTACATATATTAATCCTCCAGAGCTGATGTTGGACCGCAAAACTTATTTAATTTATTTAATTAAAAGACACTAATCAATTTCAAAGAACAAAACTGACATATCGTACAAAGAAGAATGAATATTAAATACATTTTAATAAGAATATAATCCAAATTTATAGATATAACATAAAGAAAATTGAATCGTACATTTTTGACAAAAATTTATTACTGAGCGGATCCAATAAATTCACCGTTGGCTCTCCAGAAGATTAATTATATCGAATAAAGATAATTACATCGCAACGTAATGTGCTATATTCTAAGCTTTTACAATTTTAACAGAGAGAAGTAATCCCGTATACGCAAGTGTCTCCCGAAATCAAATCCGCCAAGCGTATAGCGTGAGAATAATATAGCCGCGTACGCATATTATATCGGACCAGATGCCCGATGAGGGAAAAAAGTTAATAAAGGAAATATTCAGCGTGCTTCGTATTTTATCGGGAAATTTGCTAGTAACGGAGCAGTCAGCCCTCATGTCTGAGGTAACTCATTAAAACGGCTGATCTCGAATTATTGTTTAAGCTTTTTTTTCTCGTCTCTTCTTGCGCACTACCAGAACCGTTTATCGATGTACGAGCTCGAGAAGAGTATTAAAAATTTTATCGTACAATATATATATATATATATATATACATATACCGTTCGCGTGCGTTCGGCGGTCAGATTTGATCGTGGCGATCAGCACAGCACAATTTTAATCAACGAGCGACAGCTTCTTTTTTGAATAATCGAAATCAACGCAACATTCCCTCGACATTACTTTGCCAATGCGTTTTACGCGCAAACTCGCGAATCTACGTTATAAACGTGGAGAGAGAAGGTGAGGCTGCGCCCCCAAAACAGGGAGCCAACCGACTGGGACGCGCTTCCGTGGCAACCCCTTTAATATAATATTTAATCTAGCTTTGAACAGGCTTGCGGTTTCCGCTTCTGAAGCCGAGAAGCTTGCTGCCGAGCCTACCTAAAAGCCATGCTTCTGTACTCAAACCAGTAGCAGAGAGTCTGAAAATATTCCCAAACTCAACAGAAGCCACCTACTCGATGACAAAAATTATCTAAATTTCATAACGCCACTAAACGAGAAACTGATCATAAAATAAAATTAAAAAAGATACTTCCTTGCATACGATTAAATTTTTTGCGCGTATATGTCATATTTTATATATTTTTTTGCTACACATTTTTGTAATACAGGTTACTTTGGAAATAATACATTTAAGAAACCTATAAAATGGAAGAAGTGCTCACGCAAGTCGGATACAGAAAGAACGATACATGCATACACATAGATAAGTTATTGTTAAAAAAATTCAAAACGAAGCCATATAATGAAAGCAAAGTCACGATCATGCGCAGACGCGGTTACTTACTCTGACAATTACCAGGCATCGCGTGTCTAAAAGAAGACAACGGATCCCTCGGCTGGAGCGGATTCGGTAACGGTTGCAACGGATTTGGCAGAGGTTGCAACGGATCCACCAGGGGCGAGGCGAAGAATGGACCACCTCGTTGCGAGGCGAACGCAAAGGCATGAAACTGTTGTTGCTGCCCTAAAAGAGACAGCACTGCGATCAACCGTGCGCCTGTCCACTGGACTTCCGGTACATGTACCAATCGTACATTTTGTCTATGTGCGATTAATAACCTTTTCTTTTTATGGCACTCGAACGTGAAAGTATTAAACTTTATTTACGCGTAGAAATATAATGGAAGTAATTCTTATAGAATTTGGAAATAATATAATTTTTCCGGTAAAAATACGGAAAAAATTCGTACGTTTTCTAGCCTGACAATTGGTGGAAGGTGCATCTTTCATTTACCGAAACGACAAATGGAACAATACGGGTAAACGCCGTGGCCGTCCCTTCGGAAGCCGGAACGAACGAGGGAGACACACGAGAGAGGCATCGATACATTTTATTTCCCTGCGACGGTGTCGCCAACCCAATTAAAGACGTCCCAACAGGCAGACGTCCTATCCGACTGTCCCTGACTAGAGGTCGCCGCACAGGACAGCCGTGTGCCATACCATGCAGGTTCGTTCTCTTCCCCTAAAGGCAACGATTCAACGTGGAAGGCACCGGAGGCCAGAGAGACCGACACGAAGGGTCGCTGGGCGGAAGGGAGGTGGCGGACTCCCGTCGTCCTGATAATCCAATCGAAGCCCTAATTCTAACTCGGCAACCCGAAATTCCCGCCGGTTTGCTGAATAGGGTACGCTCGATCCGGGGACACAATGGGGGCGCGACGGCGGAATACCGACGGGTACCGAGACTAACGAGATCCTGTTAAACGACTGGCGATTCGAACACATTGCAGAACCAGAGAGAAGCCCGGGAGAAAATTTTACGAACCGTACAGGTTTCTTAGGTAAAGCACCTTTTTTTTATTCTCTTTTAAGAAGTAAATAATTTGTTGTGTCGTAAGTTTCAAGTAAATTCGATTTTCAACGCTACCTTTTACGGGATGAGAAATAGGTGCATGCCACGCGACCGGAACGCGATCGGAAAACGGCAACTTCGAACGAGGATTTGTTTTGAGATACCGATAGTTTCCTACGCTGGCGGCTTGATAGATTTAATAAATTATGCCGCTCGACCCACGCATTTATCACGCCACCCTAACCCTTTGAATTCGGCGCACCACCGTTCTTCGCAGTATTTCATTAGGCGTCGAGCACTCGTGCGACCCTCCGAATAGACGTGCGATCGTTCGCTCTTCTAAACTCCACGTTGCTTTCCCGTTTAAACGAAGTAGCAAATAATCAGTGGTCAATCTTTCACGTAACTACTCCACTATTACTCTTCACGAATAAACACTTTTGCGTGAAAAAAATGATGTTGTTATAACAACATTAGCCGACAGCAGTCTAATTGAAAACAAACTTAATTTATTGAACAATATTATTGAAATAAATGTGCCATGTTCTTGTTTTAATAAATATTGTTTATTTATATGTAATAATCTTTACAAAAACAGAAAAGCCACTATAGTGACGCTAAAACAGCGTCATATTTCGAGGCAAAGAATAGAATAAAATAAATGAATTATAAAAAATTTTACACTGGAAAATACTGCTTGCATTAATTAGAATCCTAGCGGAAAAAAAATCGAGAAATCAGAATTTTATAATTAAATCTATTATAATTCTTGTCAAGATAATCAGATGTCCAATTATGATGCTCGGAATTCTGATTGATAGGATCAGAATCTACTGGTTTATACATTTTCTACCAGAAATTTTTTTCAGTGTACTTTAAGAAAAAACTTTAAAATCTTAAAATATACTCCCATTCTCTCTAAAAGTTAATGTTATTGAATAATCAAGATTGTTTTAGATAGATGTCGGCTGATACTGTTAATACATCTTTTTTGTACGTATATAAGATGTGTCACGATCTTTCAAGTATCTTGATTAGATATGCTCATTCTGGATCATCGCAGCGAACGATCTATGACAGCACTTCCGGATTTATTCTTCCGTCGAACGGGAAATGTTTGGCGATTGGACGAAGTCGTAAGTCCTTGGCAAGTCGCGGCTATCGATTTCATTGGACACCCTCTTTGCGCTCCGTGACTGCCAGGGAATTTCTCGAGAGTTAGCAGCTGGCAACGACAGATCCTCATTTCGTCCCGTCGCCAATTCCCGCCTCTCCCTCTCTCTCTCTTTCTCTCCCGCCCCCCTCGACCCGCGTCCCGAAATCAGCTTCTCCCGATGCGAGCTGGAGCTAGTAAGCACGACACCCATTTTCGATCTTTCCTATCGCCGCCGAGAACCGTTTCATTCGTCGAAGATGCACTCCGCGAACATACGAATCCCGATTTCAAATGGGCGAGTCCTCGCGAGCAGCATCGAAACCCAGGCTAAACCTCCCTCAATCAATTTCCTCGGCCCCGCAGCCTTTCCGCGGCAACGGCCACCTTCGGCTACCAGACGAGGGTAGAATGTGTAATGAATTGCTTGTTTAATTAATTACAACCCTTCGGGGGCATTCGCTCGGTATTGTCTTAGATAAGGTTCATTCGTTTATTCTCGCGTTTGATCGTCGAATGCACGAATGCACAATTTATAGCACTTCTTTGTACATTCGCTCATAAACGTAAAATTATTTCACTCGCGAAAAGTACGTAAAAATTACCAATTCAAGTACACGGAGAGAATTTTTTCTTAGAGTTTACCCTGAAAATATGATAGTCGTGGAACAACATTGTATTTCGAAGAATTTTAATGTAAATCCATCTTATTCATTAATAAAACTACAATAAAGTATAAAATAAGTTTGATTTATTTTACTAAAGTGCATGGCAAAAATCTTTAAAATATTGTATTGTACTACAATTATCATATTTTCAGGGCAAATTAAAAAAAAAATTCTCTCCGTGAATAAAAAGAAAATATTTAAGATTTTTTTATATCCTTCCTAAATTATCAGACTTCAGATAAATTATACTTTGATGTGTGAAAATAAATCTGTCATGTACTGAAACATAATAATTAGGAGTCCTTACAGCTTACTCAAAGACGAGATGAAACATGTGGATCGTGGCCTCGAAAAATGCGCACGAGGACCACCCGGAAAGCCAAAAGCTCTTTCATCTCGCGCCGCCATCCTTGAAATTGTCCCTGATTCAGTAAACGGTTTGTTTTCATAGAAGATCCAAAGCGCCGACATGACCAATGTCTATTTCCGACGTCCTTACGCTATCTTAACGATCTCTAAAAATTCATATCCGCTGTTCGCTTTCAGAAACTTGACGTTCCGCAAAACTCGATGTTCAGCTGGGAGGAAGGGGAGTGATTTTAATTACTTTGAATTAAAATTAATTATCGATGTGTTAAAAAATGCGATCTCCATAATAATTTGTATTTCGTAATAAAATATCCCGTTTTAAATATATCTCTGGCTGAAGTAACAGTCAGTAGCATTAATATCGCAAGAGAAATTACTTCTCTGAAACGTTACGTTCTCTGAAATGTAGTGTTTTGCTTGGATGCGCGTCTCCGAGCGGTACACCGAAATTTCGCGTTTTCATATTTTGGATTTATGACGGAAGTTTCGTGGGTGGTCCGCAGATGCGGCCAAGCCGGCGGATGTGGTCGCAATTTCCCAAGGTACCAAACTTATGCTGTGCTACCCAGAGCGACCGCTTCGATATATTAAAGCTATTGGATATTTTTGGTACGTCTTCAGGGACGACATTATTAGTGCTCTAATGTATTAGTGTATTAGTCTAGTGTATTAGTGTTCTAATATCTAAACCAACACAAGAATGGGATCGCATCGTAATGTAACACGCAAAATAAGTTATCTCAAGAAAATACAATTGATTTTATAATCGATTCGAAATGTGTGTGTGTGTGTGTAAACGTTACGAGAAACTTTTTAATGCAACTATTATGTTAGAATTGTCAGACTAACAGCATGTTTTTTTTTTCTTTGTCAAGTATCGAACCTCAGGCTAAATCTTTTAAAGGAAATCTTTGTCCGTGGTACGACGCCACAAATTGACGTGCTCGGAAGCACAAAGCGTACAATGCGTTCTACGTAGTAGGTTACACGGTAGGTAACAAACGGAGAATGAGAAACGTCCCTTTCCCTTCGCCCCTAAGGAAGGAACCCCTGCAGACAGGCTCGACAGTGAACCTAGCGAAATAACGGGGAGAATTCTCGGTAATTGTATGTCTCGGCACTACGCTCTCGCGGAGGAGTTCTCGCGAGCGGATATCCGCGAAGTTTGCAGGCGTCACCCTGCGTTTTGGCCAAAGCACCGCGATACACACCTTCGCGGGCAACGCCCGCAGCTCTTTGTCAATGTTATGGCGGGACCCGGTGCCCCGCGGTTATAAATAATGACAATTGCGCGAAACTTAGCCTTGGAGGGGTGAACGGCCGACCAGCGCGAAGCCGCACACTAGGGCCATTTCGAACTTGCGGCTTTTACTGCCTCCGGTGCCACGCCGCTCGTTCGTTAGGCATTACGATCGTGTCGACAGAGTCCCGCTAAAATCTGTTTTCCCTTGTAGATATTCTACGCACATGCCAAATTTTCGAATTCCGAAGCGCGTCCATGTTATTGAAAGTCTCGATAATCGTCACGATGCGCGATTGTGAAGCTATTGATGAGGATGTCCCGCTTGTACAATGCTTGATAAGACGCTACGTGGAAAGAATGATTTTGCTGATAGATCTCAAATTTTGCTGGATATAGAACATAATTTTGTTAAAGCATCAAAACAATTTTATTAGAAACTCAAACTAATTACTAAAGAATTTTTTACAGCACGAGTGAAGAGAACCATATTTGATCGAAGCAGATCTAATAATATTTCTATGCGAATTTTTAATTTCCAATTCTAATCCTAATTTGTTTAAACTGGAATTTAAACTATGGTCCTTTTCACTCATTTGTGTTGAATCTTTTTCCGTTGTCATTTAATAGAACAATTTTTTTACAGCGTTACTCATCAGTTTTTAGTTTCCAACATAATTATTTTGATGGTTCAACAAAATTATTTTCAGTTCTCTTGCCAGCAAAACTTTAGGAACATCGCCTTTCAGGAAAATCGTTCTTTCTGTGTACTTCTATTAACTACTAACAAGAATAAAATGTAATAAATATATATAAGAACAGCAATGCTTACAGTGATACTCACTGGTCTTGGATCGCGGCTCCCGCGGCCCGTCTACTGTAACCTTAATCGCCTTGGTATAAGTGGCGACTTGAGGCGGCGTCGTCGACACCGTTATCGTTAAGGTGAAACTCTTGCCTGAAACAAAGAACACATTCAACGTGTCAAACGATCAATCAAATCTTGCAATATATTCTATTAAATAAGTTTATTCCTGGTACTACGAGCATGCAACTTTAATTTTAATGTAACGCTTTAATAACCGCAACGCGTAGAATGGAAATGCTGGAAAATTAGCTTCTAAAAACGAGGCGGACGATCAGGTGCTTTTTCCGCGTCGGTTTCCGTCCCGCGACGCGTCGATTCGTGGACGCGCCTATTCAAGCCGACGTCGAAAGTTCGCAAACGCGGTTAGCCGGGCGAAACTCCGTGGTAACCGAATTATACGTTGGTAATGTATCGAGGGCGTCGTCGACGGTGACAGTGGCCAGCCAGCGCGGCCGAGTTAAGGGAATAGAGGGTGGTCGCGTTCGAGGGAGGATTGGGCGTCGAGGGTGGAAGTCGCGTGACGCTAAAAAGCCTCGGTCGAGCGCGAAATAATGTCGTGGAAAAAGCGGGGGTAGACCGTCGGGTGGAAACACGCGCGTGCAACGGTATACCGCAATTTCATCCCGCGAGCATTAAGCACCAAAACTCTGCCGCGAAAACTCGCTCGCGCGAACGCTATCGATTCAACATGCAAAAGCACGCGATAAAACGCGTGAAAATTGCGAGGAGCGTTGCCCGATGCGAAAAGTCGCCACGATGAAAACTGCGCGCTCGCGATAATGCTACACGCGCAAGAGGTCCACCACAATTTTAACCCTTCCTCTCTTTCATCACCGTGCGTACTTGCAAGAGAACAATCAAATGTCTCCTTTCGATTTTAATAAGCATTGAATATGATAAAGTATAGATAAAAATAGGAAACACACGTATTTGTTTTATAAGTGCTTTCAGTGTTGAGTGATGAAACTTTTCCTGAAAAAAAAAACTGGTCTTTTTTTCTTGAATAAATATATCGTTTAAATCGTCAAAGATATAAAAAAATATTTTAATTAAATATTGAGAATGGTTTAAAAGTATTTTATAATAATAATAATAAAATTTCTTCAATAAAAACGTTTACTCATTATTACAAAATAAAACTACGAAATTTCTTTATACCTTTGACAGTTTAGACGATATATTCATTCAGAGAGAAAAAAAACCGACTTTTTTCAAGAGAAGATTAAAAAGTTTTCAAGAAGTTTCGCATTCCCTTAATTTTCGAGAAATTCATTTTTGAAAAAATACGTGTCTCTTAGTTCTCTATATATTTTAACAAAGCTTATGTTAAGATTGAAAGAGGACTCTTGTTTATTCCTTTGTCAGCCAAATAGCTTATTCTTCTCCGTCGTATAAATTTCGTTCGCGCCGATGCAAAGATCAACATTATATTCATATCAGCATACTATTAACATCAATGCTACTTTATATTATATGATAAAGATGTAATGATTATTTCACTAACCCATATATCGCACGTTCTTCGTGCAATAGATGTATCCTCCAAAACATGTTTTCTTGAAATTAGATACGATAATGCTGCAAAGGTAACGTGCTTTTATCCGTTACCGGTTTACAAAATGAAGAATAACACATTATGTTATTTATATCTGCTCCTAAACGAGTCCTGTTCACTAATGCATTACAACGGTCGCGTTACCCTTTCAAGCAGCCATTACCGTTATTTTTCTATCAGATCCATTAGATACGTTTCCGTACATAGGGAATACGATAATCGATCGCGGGTCAGAGTTCACCGTCGACTTGAACTCCACGGCGGCATCAATATAGACGGTAAAGTCCGCCGCACTGTGACGTAAGATGATCGATGGCGGGAAAAAAGAATGGAGGTGGAAGGCAGGGCATCGGAGAAATAATGGCGAGTGTCGAGCGTGGCCACACGGTGGTTCGCCACGCGAGCTTTTCGTTTTCTAGCGGGGATTCCCCTCGGTTTTGGCTGCGAGTCACGCCATTCTCGCCGTGCCCTCACCCTGCCGACCAACCTTTTCACTTCTGCTGCCTCGGAGTCGATGGTCCCAGTTAGGTAGGCACGCGTAGGTACACGGGTATCACCCTCGGTGCCAGTCGCCGTACAGCCATTAAAGGTCTTTCGCGATCGCCCGAGTTTGAACGCGCGTCGTTATCCTTACGTATCTTTTAAACGTACGACTTAACTTATCCGAACGAGACTTTGGCACTGCTACAGTTTCTTAATCCCACGAATCCTATTTCTTTCAACGATACCGCGAAATTAATTAAAATAATTTATAATGTTAAAAGCTTGTCAATTTCATTTGTGATAAAGTATTATAATACGATCGTAAGAATTTTCGACAAATTTAGAATAAACATAACATGGAGAGGCTCATCCTCGACCATTCGCTGATTATGCTCGTTAGCATATAGTCCTCTGTAAACGTGTGTGTAGAACTACGCGTGCGTACACATGTCTCGGCATTGTACCCTGTCGGTGTACTGTCGGGCCAATTAATTAATTTCAATTTTCCCGGAACGAAACGCAAATGCGCAATTGCAGTCTGATAACGAATTGATTACGGTCTGAAACTGCCGCGAGTGAATGCTGTTTTTCTTTTCGGAGTGAAACGATTCTCGCGCTGCGGTCGATAAATCAACATTCGCGAATAAATGCGTTTGACCAATTCCATATATCATACATTTTTATTATACTCAGAAGGTTAATAAATTATCCGCATACATTGTTTAAATATTGCATGTGCACTCTTTGAATTATTATAAATTACTATAAATTATTGTAAGTTTCAATATTTATCTCTTTGGTGAAATTAATCTCGTGACATTTTTATTACAGAAACCTTTGATACCTTTAATTATTATTTTCTATTCTCTCCATATTACAGATCACAAGTAAGATGACTGAGAGGTTTAAGGGAAAGTGTGTTGTAGAATTAAAGCAACTTGGTTAGATTGGCGACGTTCCCGTGACGAAGTTTATTCGCGGCAGCAAAGTCGAAGGATATCTTGCTATGGGTCGGAACTATAAGCGCGCAAATGATCTATCTCGTTAAAGGGCTTAGGGCCGAAGGGGTGGAAACAATCCGGTACCTTCAGGGTAGACTTTGCAGTGATGGAGCAGGCATTACGGTCGAACGTGCGGGAAGGGGGTTACGGCTTATCATCGATATTGCAAAGCTCTCGACTATCGTAGCAGTACGCTCAATCTTGTCCGGGCTAAAAGCGGTTTTAAGCGAAGACAAAAGCACAGTGTCGGCGTTGCGTTTAACGATTCCTTAAATTTATTGCAACAGCAATATATTGAAATTCAATAACAACAGCGGTATATCCATTTTCACAGACTGCATAACATACATGCGGTTTCGATATTTTTACATGTTCTAAATGTAAACAATTTTATTATAATATTAAAATACATTAACTACACGCATTTATAAGGCGAAAAGTGTAGCTAATAGGAATTTCTACGAATTTTCTTTCGCGAATCTCAAAAGGACAAAATCCTCACAAATTCATACATGAGAATATTTCCACGCTCGACAAACAAGAGGATCATTAAGAATTCTCGAGAGTTCGGCGCACATCGGTTTTCAGGGAATATTCAAGGAGCCAGGGAGCCGTTAGGAATCCTGACGAGAGAGACACTTCTCTTACATTCTTCATCCTAGCTTATGTTAATTCCGTGCTCGGCGAAAACAATTGAGAGCTAATCCCAGACAAATGACTGACGCGTTTCCGTGAACTTGGGAGAGAGTTCCCCGCTTCCCAGCTAGAGAATCTGCGAGTTTCCTGATTTTCAAGTGATTAGCCTTCCCTTACCAATACTATCGAAAATATGACAACAATAACATACTAACAATGACTACTATAATGGCATATTTTCAATGATTATCATATTAAATTACTATCCAAGTTGTTTCTTCCTATATTTCTATGGTAATTTTAATGTTAAAAAATTAATAAGTGAGTGTATCGATAAGTAATCTTAATACAACATCTTGACTTTTGAGGGTAAAACTAAGATTGCTCTTGTTAGCCGAATTAACATGACGTCTGTCCTGGAAAATCGGAAGTTCCAGGTTCAAATATTGCCTCAGCCAGGAAAACAATATTTTTCGTTTTGCCTTCCTAGCTGAGGCAATATTTTTCGTAATAAAATTATTTACAGATTTAAGATTCTCATTAATATTTAATTACAAAAATATTCTTATAAAAATACTTATTAGCAAAAATTATTAAATTGTTCGCCAATAAATGATATTACTATTTGGATTCTGTTCATGATTGCGTTTTAAGACCGAAATAAAAACGTCAATGCGCGGTTTGCAAAGAATCAAATATGTACATAAATTCATATAGAAATTTAAACACTAAGATCCGCTTTGACCGAATATAGAAATTCTTTTATTTTATTAAATTTATTCTTATCGATCCAAATTCGTATTAAAAAATTAAGATTGTTTATTGATTAATCTATTGCATAATATTTAAAATAAATCGTAAATAACGTTAAGTCGTTCAGTAAACCAAATAACTTTATGAAAATTATTCGAAGTAGGTCGAATGCACATACAGTTATTTTAAATTACGTTAATCAAAAGGCTTTAGCATGAGTTCAAAAGACGCAGTTAAACGAAATACCGGCTCTAATAACGTTAATTAAAACTCAACTGAAACCTCAATTAATATCACCCACCCCAGTCGACGTCGGCAGCTTCTTCGAACGATACTCAGTCCCTCTCATTTCGCCCTTTCCTCGACGAAGCTGGGCGGCGAAGTGAGAAGGTCGCACGGTGGTGCGGACAAATAAAAGCCATTACCCACCCCAAGGTTTTCTCGACGTGAGGAGCCAACCCTTAGAATGGAGCGGAGACGTAAGACTTTTCCTCGAAGAGCCAAGGAAAAACGAGGGTTGTCTCAAGACGTCCACGACCTACCCTTACTACGCGGTGTACACGGTGAATTCTTTGAAGGGGTTTCCGCCGCCGGTACTTCACCCCTCCGGCATTTTCTTCCGGCATAAAAGACGAAGGGCGACACGCTCCAAGCAAAGACTAAGGAACTTTGGAGTTTTATGAATGGAGAGGAAAGTAGGACAAGAAAATGTCGTCCGACATTTAATCTTTCACCCCTCGTTTCGTTGCAATGAATTATCCATTCAAACGCTACAGATTCTCATCGGTGAAAACTTTTAATCGAAAGAAATGACAAAGAAGGCATAGGACTCACCTCTTCCGCTTCTGCCGACGAACCTCAAATCGTTAAACTTGGCGACTTGATTCTTCATCAAAGCCGTCGAATTTCTAAGCTCAGCGCAACAATTCTCATCATTGCCAGCGCGAACAGTCACCAAGGTACCGTCGCCTACTTCGCCGAGAGCTACAACTTTGAAAGCCACCGGAAGAGTTTTATTAGACCTCCAGTGTGCGGGTAGAACGGTACAGACCAAATGTGGCGAGCCTATAATCAAAATGTTCATATGATCTGATTAGCTACAAAATGGCTGACATTACTTATGCTAAATGTATACATTATTCTATCTACAAGTCGCAAAGGTTCGGTCTATCCACGCACAACACACATACGCATACAAAATCTCTATAATCCTTGCTAATATCTATTTGCAGAAGTATTATCGTCATTCAATTACCTGTTCTAACTAACTCGCCGGGATGTTCGCTGACAAAGTCACCCAGAGTTCTCTCAGCAAGGATATCACTGGTCATCTTGGTGTAGGCGTCGGTCAACGGAGAGACGCCCGACTCCGGCGAAGCGGCCGCTCCAGGAGCCGACGCTCCTGTCAACTGCATCCTGCCGCTTGCACTGCTGCCGCTCTCGCTGGTACCGCTCGACGTGCCGCCACCACCCACGGATTCGTTACTGGACGTCCTTACCGAGCCAGCACCGTTTCCGGCTACCGTGCTTCCGCTGCCGCCGCCGTTGCAACGGCCGAATATATCCATAGGCAGTCAGAACACCGGATGAAACATCCTTCCATTCGGTTCAGCCGCTGAACCAGGAGAGTCTCGCGAGCATTCTTCAAGAACGCATCATCTCTTGAATCAGGCTCGACGGCCTGACACTCTCCTCAGGAAGACTTCCTTTTCAAAATTTTTATTTTCACGACGTCATTAACCTTAGCAAATTTTCTTTATAATATAAGCGACGAGATAAATGGTCGATTCGTTATTCTCTTCGAGTTGTTTCATATAAGTATGCATTGTTGTATAAATTTGGCAGCGGATCGTTTTAATCTTTCTTTGGCAGATGTGCGGAGATTATTATTTCTTGGTTTATAGTGGTAACCTTTGTAGAAATGAAACTTTTCGAGACATATTTTCGATGGGAATCAAGCCAAGACAATTTTATCCTTCTATAATTTTATCTTCTAATGGACAACTGGATCGTAAATATCTGAAATAAAACACGAGACAACCTACATATAACATAAAGTTTCTGCCATAATTTTTCGCAAATCTTTTTCATAAAATTACTTCTACAATTAAATTATTAATTCTACAATGATTTACATTAACTTTTAATGCATCAATCTAGAAATTTAATACACTTGATAAACGAAAAATGAAACTATCAAGAAACCGAAGGACTCTATTTGGCAAGGAAAGTTTGTGCCGCGCGATAATATCCTTGCAGCCGTCGGATAATCAGCGATGCTTTAGCCATCCTTAATCTATTCAGCGAAATCTTTTTTTACGTGTTATCAAGAAACCAAAGGATTCTATTTGACAAAGAAAGTTCTTGCCGCGCGATAGTATCCTCGCGGCCGTCGGTGATCAGCTTGAGCTCAGCATCCTTAATTCATTCAACGAAATCTTTTACGTGTCATAATCTTACAACTGAGATTCTTTAACCGCAATTATCTCTGACCTTCGCGACAACGTGACACTTACGGGAACGAACGAGGAAAGCGGACGGGGTGATCGAAGCGGCAGGTAACGCGCGAAGAGAAACGAAAGGGGGTGAATAACGGTTGACACGAACAGGAACGACTCGCACACTTTTCACGCGGCTGGCTCGTGACGTCACCGTTCATTCAGTAATTTTTGCGCACGTCACCGGGGCTGACACGCCAGATCCAGGTGGTTCCAGGAGGGGCAGACTGGCACGGTAGTGGGGACGGAAAAAATAGGGGAAAAAGAACTCCCGCCGGTAGGCACCCCCCACACGAATGCCCAACCCCTACGCACGTACGACCGCGTGTCAAACTGCACGTGGCCACGTTTACCACGTTGCTTCCTGCCAATGACGGTCCCATTTCGAAATTACGAATCGGCTCATATTAAATTGATAAGGCGGAGATATAATCGACAAAGCGACTGCGAGCGTAGTCTATTATATGGTGAACACGCTGATCCAATGATCGAGATCGGTCATTATATTCGGCCGCACGTAAAGAGCTTTGTAAAATAATGTTTAAAATCATTTTACTACATTAATTCTATGTGACGTACAAATGACAATTAATTACTTCAATTCGTGAGTGTATAGATGTGTATTCGTATTGTTGTGCATTATTCAAAATGCTGTGATAAAAAAGTGATCGTCACGTTTTCAACACCTTCTAAAAGCCAGACGGAAAGTTGATGGAGCTACGTAGCAAAATATAACGTAAAATGTTTTTACAATTAAGAACAATAATAATGGCTTCGTCGATTTTCTTATCGTTCTTTTGTAAGAAGATTCAACGATGTTGCGACGACTAAGATTCTCGCTTAACTTCGCATTCAAATCTCTTACGGAACTCATTCTGTTTACCGTCTTCCGGAAGAATTACAGTACCGATTACGTATCATTATTCACTTTCAAAAATCTTTTAAGGCGGGAAAAAGAAAAAAATGATACTGCAACAACTGTAATATTTCAGATCTATTCTCTTATATTTCAGAAAAAGGAACTAAAAAATGATAAATTGATGAAAAATGATGATGATAATAACTTTTTCTTTAAAAACAATACACACAAGATGCAATATTAGTTATTAAAAAAAAAAATGAAATTTATTACTTAAAAGTTTTGTTAAAACGTTTAGTATAGTCAAAATATATTAGTTTAACTGATGTCGAGGATATCCTCAAGAACACACTTTTGGAGTAATCGCGTATAACGAAAAAAGAACTCTTTTCAAAAGTCTCACTTACTCGCGTCTCAAACTCCGGCTCAAAGTCTCTGCTCAATCGAGCGACTGCAGTTACCGATCAAATACACGACATCATCACATTTGTCATTATTCGCCACTAAAAAAACCTCGTATAATCACGCACTTTGATGTACAAATAGTTCTAGAAACGAGAACAAATTCATCAGTCACTTCACTGAAACAATCTATCGGTAACAAGTATAATAATGCGTAGCCTCTCGAAACGCGTCAAGATCGCCTAGGCGAGAGCTCGAAGGATTTCTCTACGACGGTCCCCCCTTAGGTGATCCCGAAGGGACCCCTTTGGCGGTTCGTTAGCGGCACCCTCGAATCATCTTCGTCCCCCGCGTATAACTACGAAAGTGGCAGTTCCGCCTCGGTATAGCGTTCTCGATAGCCGAGAGTAAATTTCGAAGTATCCGTTGGGGGTCACTAACTATAATTTCGGCGGTTCGTGTGAGGCAACAGCCGTTGACGCACTGGTCCATGCCAACACACGCAGCATCCCTTTCCCCTTACCAGGTTCCTCTCTCGCACCCCTCTGCCACCCCACTCCTTCCAACCTTCCTTCCCTATTTGGCGCTCGCTCACTCTCTCTGTCTCTCCCTCTCCCTCTCTCCCTCTCTCACTCCCTCCCTCGCTCTCTTCCTCGCCCTCTCTCTTTCCGTCCCTCATTCCGCCTGGCGTAAACCTCTTTCTCTCGCGCGCACGCCGCTCTTTATCGCTTTATCTCCCACCGGACCCGACCTCTCTCCCTCTCGCGACGGCGACTCTCTTTCTCTCCGGCACTCTCGCTCTCTCACACGCTCTCTTTCCCCTCGACCCTTTTGCGGTATGGCTCGCGTGCTGGACATCGGTGGGGAGCCAGGAGACTTCGATCGATCTATCGAACCCTGATTTGATCGGTTTTCTCCGTTACGGCTTGTATGCGCGCGCGTACAATTTTTTTCTCTTCTTTCGCGTGCGTAACTCGCGGATCTGCGTTGCAACACCTCGATACTTCCAATTAGATTCCCCGAGCAAAAGTTTCCACGGAATTAATCACGTCAAACCCGATGTTTGAATTTGCGTACGTGCGAAATTTCCGGCATCCAGCATCGGCGTACGTAACGCGTAAAAACTCGTGAAAATGTCATTTGTGTGATTTCAATAATTGGTATACACACACACGCGCATTCTTTCCAAACCGCTCCTTCCGATCGAGATACCTAATGTTTTTTTTTCTCAAAACGCATCGTTGTTTCATATACAACGGAACATTCGTACAACAGTATCTCGTACAATGAAGCTTCACTTTCGAAAATCAAACAGAGGTCCCGGCGCATCCTCGCAGTTGCACTGTTTGTACGAATGTGCAAACAATGGAACTACCCATTTCCTGCGCGAATATATCCTGACGATATCCAACCGGTCGCGGACCTGCCGGCAGGCAAACACTCGAGATTCTACGGATATGTACGGATCCACTTATAGAAAATCTACACTCGAGATTTTTTCGCATCAGTTTAACGCTCTTATGCATATTGAAATATCCTAATAGTCGGAATTTTAATAGAAAAAAATTTGGCAATTTTTTATTTTTATTTTTTTTTTTTAATATACTGGGCAGGTAATTATTTTAATTTTTCTTTGACTTTTATTTTTTTTCTATTTTATATCTCATTTTATTATAAAAATTTCCATAATGAAGCGCTGATTAAATTCAAACTGCGTTATTCAGAGGTAGAAAGTTGAATTCGAACCAAAATCTTATGTCAAATATTTTCTTTCTGTTTTTTTTTTTACAAAGGAAAGAATAATAATTTCCTGATGACTATCGGCCGTAATATTCTTCGGTTTGCCGCGTGTTTGACATTTAACAGTATATAACGCCACGGCTCACAAAACGAAACGAAACGCATTCACGCTACAGAAGTATGCCGGGTGTATTCAGTGGCGAACGATCACCGACGAGACGGTGACAAACAGCGATACCGCTGGAAACGTGGAAACTGGACGGCCGCCGTCGTATTGACAAACGACCTAACGCCCGTGTGGACCGTTGCGTTCGACGAGATTCGAATTATCTCTGTTGGAGCTTGTCAATGCAAATGCCATACCTACATTCAATTACCGCTCGTCACGCTCCGATCAACTGCCGGACTCGGCAAACCAGGTACTCCGCTATTCCACGAGTACCGGTTTCTTTGCCCGCGAACTCAAATCCGTAAGTCCGCCTTTCGTTTTCCAACCAAGCCTAAGCTTTCAGAAGAATCTAAGACAATCGCGGTTCTCAGTATCGTGACGACAATATGAAAAGACGTAACGATAATATTTTGTACAAATATTTTTAACCCTTCATTCATCGCAAGTCCAAAATACGGCAGAATACATCAGCCAAGTTTGTTAAATGTATGAATGCTACTTATACACATTATTATATTTAGCGCAAATTATTTCACAATTTCAAAAAAAATTTTGCATTTTCTTTTTGTCTAAAAGATTTATAGAATATCATTAATTTTTATTTAATTGTAAATAATAAAAAAATAAGTAATGAAAATCGAAATTAATATTGGGGTGTCAGAAACACTCCACGCGAGTAATTACATTAAAAAATCAGGTAATGTAGGGCTAAGAATATTTACTATTTAAGATTTACTATTTCGATGTTTTTTGTTTACTCATAATAAAATTATTTTTAAGCATCAGTCATTGAATTAATGTAATTGTTCTATAAAGCTTCAGTATTTTACTGATATACCTACTAAAAGAGGTCAACTATTTCACGTGTTTCTATTTCTAGATTATCTAGCAATCGTGTCACTACAGTTCGTATAGGATACAGTTCGATGTGGCGACGCATTAAAGGACGTTAATTAATGAGCCGCGCTATCGATATAATTGTTGTCGCGAGTTACCGTATAACGTCTAATGTGTTTAGGA